ATGTGATTACGTGTTTGATATGAATTTGTATGTTAAATTATGTGAGTTCTTATGTGATTAAGAATTTATATATGTTGGGTGTTGAATGTCGCAATTGGAACCTTGAACTGAAAATTTATAGCCTTAGAGGTGCCAGAAACCAAAACCAATTTCATAAATGTGTTTAGCATGATTTTTAGAGCCTACGGTGAAATTTGGCAAAATTACGATTCGTAATGATTTAATTGAGCTTAATTAGCATAAACCTTAGATTAAGCCAACATCATTATGCATGTGATTTTATGTTTAATTAATTAAGGAGATTTGGATTCAAATTGGTTGTTACTTTAAGGTAATTTGAGATTTATGAGAATTTTGGAGTCTGATTCGTATTTGATTTTATTAAGGATTTTATTTTGAAATTCGAAATTGAAAGCCTAAATGGCTCAAGATAGTATAATTGGAGAATTGAATTATTTTAATTTCGAGTATCAGACCGTATGGGAGTGTAATTTAATATTTGGAGCCTTTTGGAAGTTTGATTAAAAATCTAATTCAGAATGATAAATCTTAATATAATTAATTGGGCTCTAAAGGAAGTGAATTAGATAAATTAAATTATGTGACATTTATGATTAGTTATGATTAATTTAATTATGTGTTAATCAAGATTTGTTAAGAATAAGAGTTATTTAATTAAATTAATCTTAACCATAAATTAAATTGTAGAATGATTTAGGGTTTGAGAATATATGTAGGTGTGTGTGTAGAGAAGTATGTTTTTGTGTGTGTAGAGAAATCTGGGTGTGTAGAGAAAATTTGAGTGTGTACTGAGAAATCTGGGTGTGTGTGTGCATGTGAGTGTAGTGTTGGAAGCCTTAGACAATGTGCACATGTGCATGTGGTGTCAACAAGTATAGGTGTGTGTGTTTGTTTTCTTTGTACTGGAGCATTCCTTGTGGAAGGATTGAGTTCAACAGAGAGAGAGAGAGAGAGAGAGAGAGAGAGAGAGAGCTCACTTCTTTGGTGAAGAATGATTCAACTTGATGGAAATTTTTGAAGAAGTTCAAGGGAAAACCCACTTGGGTGCTAAGAATTGAAGATGAAATAGAGAGCTAAGGAAGAAATCAACTAAATTTGCTGAAATTAAAGTTTAAGGTATGAAATTTATGTTTGATTTTATAGAATCTTTGTGTTACATTTGAAATTAAAGATGAGTTTGGGATCAATTTCATGTAATTGAAAACAAATTACAAGAAGATGACGAAATTAAATTAGATTCATGATTATGGAAATTAATTATTTTGGGTTTGATTTTGGAATATCATGCATGAATTGAGTCTAATTTGTACATGCATGGACAAAACCTACAAGTCTTAATACTCTAATTGTACATGCATCATAGATTTAAATCAAAGGAGTTTATGAACAAATGAGTTCAATTTGTAAATTAAAGGAGTTTTGATGTAAATGGTTTAAAATTGATCACATTTTCTTGATTAATTAAGAGTTTGTGTGGTTTTAGACAAGCCATGTATGAACCCAAGTTTTGAGATTATATTTTGAAAGTTCAATTCATGTTTTAGAATTTGTGGGTTTGAAATAAGGCTTGATATGAAGAACATGAATTAAATTTAAATTTGAACAAATATGGAAATAAATTATAATTTATATTTGATAATCAAAAATTAGTTTGATTTTGAATTAAATTTCATACATGCAAATATTTTTTAAAGGGCTTTATAGCTTCAATTTATATTTCATAAATAAAGAAAGATGATTTTTGTAACAAGGGGAACTTGGCACCACATCACACATGCATACATAATTTTGTTGAATCTCATGAATTTGAGTGTCATTTCTACCATTTGAGATGAAATTAGAGTCTACATTTCACATGCATGCACAATCCATGGAAATATATAATTTATGCGCATGAGTCATGAAGTTTAAGGAAATGAATTTGATATAATTTGGGCTTGTATGATGAATCCTTGGAGATTTGAGCTTCAAATCTTATAGGATTGGCATTATATCATGTTAGAAGTTTTATGGTTGCTATATATGACAAAGCATGTAAGTTGTATCATTTAAAGTTATGTTTTGAAGCACAAACAACATTCTAGAAAACCCATAAATCAACTTCATTGCTCGAGTGGAGAAATTGCCGCTCAAGCGTAGAATGCAAGCAACCAGTATTTTTTGCAGACCGAGGGGTCTGCTCGAGCGGCCAGTGTTGTTCTTGAGCGAAGAGCCCTGTTTCAGAAAATTTTGAAAAGTTGTTTCATATTCCGATTTGCGTTCTCTTTTATTTTTAGGCACTCTTAGGCATATATTGAGTATTATAAATGAATTAAAAGAGTAAGAAAGAAGCCTAAAAGAATTAAACAAGTTAAGAACGAAATAAATTATATTGTGACCCAATTTCTATGTGTATTATGAATTGTGTAGGGTCAACTACAAGGGTGAACCAGATATCTGAACACTGTGAGTTTAGTAAAGATATGTTCGTATCTGCTATTTTTAAATACCACCCATGTGTAAGTGTTCTGGACTTGTGAATTCGAATTATGAATGAGCATTCTACTCATTTGATTGTGTAAGGCTATAATGAAATTGATAAGCATGAAATCATCTGAATGGACCAAAGGTTGTTCTGAATGAATATGAAATTGGCCTAAAGGTCGTCCTGTATATTTGATTACATGGACCAAAGGTCGTTTTGTATGTATATGAAATGGACCCAAGGCTATTTGATATGTTTGACAAGGATATGAAGTGGGCCCAAGGCCGTCTGATATGTATGTCAAGGACACGAAATAGGCCTAAGGCCATTGAATACGAATGTGATCATGATCATGAATATGAGTATGCGTATAGATATGAATATGGAAATGTTGGACCTGAGGTCGTTCTGTAATGTGATTGTTGGAACAATCTTCTGTGTAAATAAAATAAATTGAAACTGAAACAAATAAATAAAATAATAAACTTACAGAATTTATTTTATCGAACCAAATGAAAAATCAAAGACCAAGTCGAGTGTGTGATACTCTGTCCTTAAGACAGATTCGCCCCGCTACGGTGCTTACGGTTGAGTGGCGTCTATCTCCCAGGATACAATGATCTTCACAAACTTGTAGTAGCACTTCAAACAAATTTGTCCGGCGAACAAAACTTTGTGTTCTATACTCTCTCAATTTTATTTTAAAACTAGAATGAAGAATATATAATGCAAATGAGCAAATAGGATAGCAAAATGAATTTTGTAGACTAATTTTCAGATGTTTAGATTGCTGGAATTGAAAGGTATTTATAGGCAAACACTACTGTTCGAACAGGTATGAATTTAACTTGAATAGGTGCACTTTTGAAATGAACAGATATCATTCAAAATTCAAACAGATTTGCAACAAAACTGTCCAGATTTGAATCTGTCTGGATAGTTAAGAATCTGTCCGGTTTTAAACAGTTAGAAAAACTGTTTGGACTGAAAAATCTGTTTGTGGAATATTTAGACAGGAAAAAGTTTGTTTGGAAAAAATTTAAATTCAATTTTGAATTAAATTCCCGCAATAATTTTTAAAAAAATTCAAATGAATTTTGTCCAAAAAATTAATACAAGAATTGACCCGACCCACAACCTGCGCTCGGCATGGACGGACGGACGACGGCGGTGGCGCGAGTTTGTGGTGGTTTGGGCCAAGATTCACTTTGTCCATAACTCATCCCTTCTACAAACTTGGAGTGCCCCTTGGGGCCCAACCTAAGTATTGTAGTCTAGAGCTTATATACACAAAAAAGCTCTCTTAAAGTTTCAATGTGGGACAACCCATTTAAAGGAAACCCACATTTAAATCTTTAAATATTCATTCCATGAACCCGAAAATGACATCAACTTCTTATTCACTTATAAATGGTTTTGACGAACAGTCTTCACCGTGTGACTTGCCATGCGGCAAGGAACACATCACCTCTTCGGACCCGTCCCAAAAGATGTTCGGGGCCCACTCAATTTTGGACTCAAAGATGGCCCAAAATAAGCCATATAAAACCCAATTTTCCAACAGTGATTGGGCCCGAGGCCGTTCCGTGTTATGATTGGTCCCAAGGCCATTCTGTCATATCATTGGACAAGTATTTTGGACCCGAGGTCATTCTGTATGAATAAGTATTTTGGACCCGAGGTCGTTCTGTATGAATGAGAACTTTGAACCCGAGGTTGTTTTGCCCTTCTGATACGCCTTGAGCATGATGGATTGGACTTGAAATCGTTCTTAGTTGGATTTACATGTATTACGTATAAATATGAATTACTTAATTAAAAATCTCATTCGTATAACCTTTTTACTTTGGTGTTATTCACTGGGCGTTAACTCACTCTTTATATATATGTGTAGGTGAGCAATTGAAGGATCAACATTAGAGTTTGTCCTGGAGTCCACCTCTTTGTCAAGCCACCCAAGAAGTGCCTCTGTGTAGAGGCTTTGTTTTATTTTGTCAAGCTTGGGTTAATCCTTGTATTTTGTTAAAAGTCCTTCATGTAGTGTGTGAGATATAAAATATGTCTTCGTACATGTATACACTACAACATATAAGACTTTTGGCGACCAATTATTTTGGTCCCTAAAACCATTATTTTGGTCTCTAAATAGTTTTTGTGACAAAATTAAATTTGTCACTAAAAGAGTCACTAAAAGTGCGTCTAGAAAAGTCTTTAGCGACCAATTTTTGAAAATGTCGCTCAAAATAACAAATAGCGACTAATTTTATATTGTCACAAAATGTTTGATTTTACAAGACTAAACATTTAGTCGCTAATACTTCGTCACAAAATATCTCGATTTGGTCGCGAAAAACAAAATAATGACATTTTTAACGACAACTATATTTGGCCGCCAAAAGACAAATAACTTTTTCTACCACACATTTTCGTCGCTAAAAGTCAATTTAGAAAATATTTTGTAACCATTTAATTTCATAGCTTATAATGCCCAAAAATTAAATTTGTCATCCAATCAAATAAAATAAAATAAAATAAAAATTTAAAATCCACACACCAAAGGCATTTTCCTCCCAAACCACAAAGAGTATATAGAAAATAAAATTTTACAAAAATTAAAACACAAAGTATCCAAAGTCACTTCAACATGGTTTATTATATGAGTTAAAACTCAAAATAGGATCAAATTAGTTCAACATAGGTCATTATATGAATTAAAACTCTATGAAGATATCAACCCCAGTCGACTTCAACACCACGTTATGGCTTTGCATTTGCCATGCCCAGTTTGAGAATGCTGACAAAGGAAGGGCTTCAGTGGCCTTCCCTAATGGTGTTCCTGGCAAACCAAAGATGATGATCAAAACCATTTTCTTAGAAATCCAAATGAGAAGGTCTACGAACAAAAGCATGAACTGAAGTTCTAATCAATCAGAAGGTTTCTTAGAAGGCTACTATATGATTTAAGTTGTTCATCTACTATTTATCATTTTGTTAAAACAAGGACTTTGACTTTTGTTGTGGAATGCTTGCTTACTGTCCTTTATCATATAGATTTTGTTGTTAAATTAGAAAGATTGCATTTCTCTGTGGTTTTAGAAGGTAGAAATATTGGTCACTTAGTCATCTGTGAGATAGATAAAATGATAGACAATAGTTACCTCATAGTTTGGTGTGAAAATGGGATAGATGCCCAACCATATTGGAGGGTGCTTGGGCCATTGTTAGACCACGGGTGTTTTTTCCATCCGTAGGAGCAGAAACAGAGCTCTCAACCTGTAAAATACACAAAAGACATTGATCTATTAAGAGGTTATAGTAAACACAAAGATCACGATCTATGTGATTACAAAAATTCAAAGACGAGAGAATTCAAACCAGCCACAAGATAAAACAGGATAGTAGAATTACCAATAAAAGGATAATGGAATTACCTGGACATAGGCATACTTGTTGAAAAAACGAACCAGAGTCTCCACAAGATAAAATAGGAAAATCAACACAGCACAACAAACACACATTGTTGCCAATCTTTTATCTGAATCCCCTAATCTGAAAGAATTCAATCAAACTGCATAATCAGTCATACCCATGCACGCTTGATAATATCTATGAATGCTATCCACTTGTGCAAATAATATTTCTGTAAACTTAATTCAAAGCAATATGTGACTACCTTCCACGGTAATGTCCAGATAGCAGCTGTAAAGAGTGATCCATAGCAAATGCTACCAAAAGTAGTCATGGCATACCACAGAGACTTCATCAGTGGCTTGGAAGGCATTGATGCCGCTTCTCGACCACCATGGAGAAGAACAAGAAACACCATCCCAGACACAATAACATGAACAGTATTACAGAGAACTGCACTCATCCAAAATAAACTTAGAGAGAATACCTGCATATAAATAACAGCACTTCTTGGTCTCAGTGGAAGAAACATACAATGATAATACCTTGTTCTGACTAAACCCCGACAATAACAAATAGCATGAATAGCTAAAAACTTGCCAGCTCACCACAAGAAGCCACCAACGTCCACCATCACCCATGCTTGAAGCCACAACACCAGCTGCACCGAAAGACCATAATGCTAGCCATAAAAGCATGGCTAACATGAATGTGCATGCTACTCTCAAAACCCCGAGAAGACTCCACACCATCTTAACAGCTCCTTGCAAAACCCACATGGTAAATGGAAGCCTACAGAAAAATATACAGTTAGGGAACAATGGAAACAGTTGATTAAAGGTTATTCCAGATCTTTATCATGAGAGAGAAGAGAGTTTTATTTAATGCAAACTAACCTTTTTCTTACAAATTAAATCATAGCCCAATACATTTACAAGATTTTCATAAGCAACTACTAACAATGACGCATTTAATTTGGAAGAGTCATCCCAAACTAATAAGAGAATGTTCTAAACGTTAACTATTGTGCAATTATTTATCTTTGGTGAGTATGAATCCTCATGCAGGAACTAGAACTAATTCAAGTGATTCAGAAGAAATACAAAAGACCAAGCTATTTAAACTAAGAATTTAAAGTACTAATCTATACTAACATAATATGTTTCCAACATGTTTAGAGCTGGACTCACTGTTGAAGTGTTATATTAGGAATTTTATTTGTACCAATCATATGGCAAAATGCTTCATCATTACTAAAGAGCAAGTGAATGTAAAAAAACCCAGGTCCAGTTAGTAGTCACACAAAATTAATGTCTTAATATTCAAAAGTCATTGTTCTAATAATGAACAGTATAACATCATGATTTGGTCCATATATACCAATTGAATTATGTCTTTCCTACTAATTTGCATACATCTAAAAACTATAAAGTTGTGATACTGGTGACATATCCCACATGAGGTAATCACTCTAACCAGAGCCAAAGCACCAAAAAACATAATCAGATAAAATGAAGCTGTACAAGCTCAAACTTTTACCTGTTGTAACAAGCCCGCGGGGGACCTCGCTACAGCTCGGACTCGACTTTCGTTGTCACGGTTCTTAATCTGAACCAAAGAGTCCAAATCCGGCAAATCGTTTTGAGAAAAACAGATTTTTGAAAGAAGTGCCAAACATGGACTGCTTTGCCAGATACAGAGTCGCCACCTAAATATTTTTTAATGGGAAATTTAGGAAACCCTGACTCGGTGCCAAAGGCCACGTGTCCGTCATCACCAAAGTTGCCTCGGCTCGGGAACTTGGGTACGATTGGGGAAGGTCACTTCGTGAGCACCCCCGCTACTAACCATGATATCTATTTTTGAAAAACATTGTGTGTTCTTATTCCGGTTATTAGCCTAGATTTAACTATGTGATGCGCACAACATACAAGTATAGACTGGGTCACCTGAATTGGAACAAAACATTTCATGTTTGTTTTTGAAAGATGGTTTGCTACTCGCAAGTAGGCTTAAAATACAGATTTTGCCACCCGCAGGTGGGCTTAGAAAAGATGGTGTTGCCACTATCTAGTGGGCTTAAAACAAACAGTCGATGATTTATTCCAATTCAAATAACCCACCCTTCACCCACAGGCATTCAGGCAGTTATATCATATAAGCACATAGCCTCATGGTAAGCATGCTATTCATGGCAGTCACTCACACGCATGCAAGGATGCTAAAGCATAAAGCTTACCGAGTACTCCAAGCCAAAACAAGAAACTACATTAGAAATCACGCATGAATCCTAAGTATACAAAAAAATGTAATGCAACACATGCAAAATGCAAACTATAGCAGGCTCGGCTATTCAAAACATTGTATATGAGATGCTACAACTATCATGTATTCAATCACAATTCAAGGCATGTATGCACCAACCATGTCCCTTATCATGATAATGACTCAAAGGGGCATGTGCCTCGATTCTCGGACCACCAATCACGCATTCCCA